GTTTTAGAGAGTTGAGTGTGATGCCAAAGGTTAACACAAGGTCGAGGGCAGCGGCGCCGGCAGGACTTTATTTCATAGGTTTCCCACACACGCACATATTTCTCCTCGTCGAACGGGTGAGCGAGCAACAGAGAGAGAGAGATTCATTTGTGTATTTTAGCGTTAAAGTTATGACATAACACCACAATAAAACTCTGGTTAGCCTCCTACCACATGCATTTCAAAGACCAACCAACAGGCCTGAAAAACCACAGCAGCAGCTAAATAACAGGCTACAATATACTATTATATACTATAATGATTATCCCCGAGAAATGAGTCGACATGAGGCAACAGATTCCCTCATTCAGCATCAGCAGCATAAGAACAGTTTCCTAACTAACTACTAAAGATGGTAATAACAGTATGCAACATCAAAACCAAACCAAGCTGCTGCAATAAAAAATCAAAAAACCCACATGAGACAATAAAATGAAATAGTATTCTGATCTATTTAAAGTTCATTCTCCAGTGAGGATTAAATTATCCCTCACTGATGTTGATCTAACTCCAAGGCTCTCTGTGCATGGTTTTCTTCTTTCAGCTCTGTTATTCTAGGCCGCCTGTCTGCCTCAAACATCAGACCTTGTTTTTGAACATATCTAGTTTTTATTTAGCTTATCCACACAGATCAGCTCAGCTCAGGTTTGTATAGCAGCCCCTTGGCTCGAGTCTTTTACTCTTTTTGGTCTTTTTAGAAATAAAATAATTATAATGTTTACATTGACACTTTATTTGACTTGAACAAAAATGAACAACTAAAACTAAAAACTCTTTTGTGGCATATCAGGGAGTAGCTGCATCACACACACACACACACACACACACACACACACGCACACTGCTCACATTAACAGACGTGATTCCTCCACTCACCAGTCTCACCACGCTGCTCCTGTGGACAGCTGGTATTGGCTCCTCATTCACACTTTTTGTCACCACGTTTGTCATCGAGTTCATCAGATAAATTTGTTTGATGACGTGCTTTGAGATGTTGTGTGTGTATGTGTGTGTGTGTGTGTGTGTGTGTGTGTGTGTGTGTATGATTGATGAAGCTTCTTGGTTTATCCTTTTGAACTGCAGGAACAGTATTTAAAGTAGTAATGTATGACTGTGGCTGCTCCTGACTTCATGTTCCTTCCCCTCGCACCACAGGAGAGACGTGCAGAGGACAGTGTGTGCTGTTCATTGACCTGAAAGTGCCACTGTCAAAACTGACCACTCCAAAAAAAAAAAAACGACTTGTATTCAGCTTCTTCCTGCGACTTTGTTTCTCTCAGGGAGGAAAAGTGGTTTCTTTCACCGGCCCTCTGAGCTCTTACTGGAGTCCACAGCTGTCAACAGACAGACAGGAAACACGTCACCAATTCATCTCTGAAGGACACGCTCATTCACAGAAACATGCTGCTTACATTAGAGCAGGTGACTTCTGGGAGCAGAACACACTCACTGAGTCTCCTCGGCAGGTTGGAGTACAGCTGCTCACACTCCACTGCTGACATCTTGCTTTCGTCAGTATTTGGCTGTTATCTGAGGGAGGGTCCTCGTTGACAAAAGCCACATAAAATGATTCAGGGAAATATTTTATTCACAATTCATAAAATTCATAAAAATTCATTTCACTCAGCCAACTCACTTGAATGGATTATTTGAATGTAGAATATGTACAGTGTTGGTTTGGCATCCGACCTCCTCACTGCCCACAAGGAAACACTGAACTCAGCACAGCAGAGAGAGAGGGGAGCGACACTGAAAGCTCCGTGAGCAGCAGCAGAGCTCTCATACCAGCTGTGTTTTATATTTATATTTATAATTTATAAAGTAATCTAGCTGTATGAATCAGGTTCAGATAAAATACAATTGCAGGCACAGTGGAGGAAAACAAGACCATAAGGAACAACTGAGTAACAATTGGCCATTTTAATTTTAAATTTATCAGACAAAATTTTATTTGATTAAATTGAAAGGGAATTATATCTCACAACTACAGTTCTACTCCTATATGCAGAAGGGATGTTGAGAGATCAGATTTAAGGAAAATATTAACTTGTTAATTTGTTTCATATTTCCCTCTTCTGTGTTTTATTTGAAGTGTCGATCCATAAGAAGATATATTTATGGTTTTAAGAACCAAAAACCATCTCAGTGTAGTTTTACATCTCCTCTCTCAGGCTTCTTTCTGGAGCTCTAGTAACAACAGGTCGGTGAGCCAATCAGAAGAGAGGAGGCTCTGAGCCTCTCTTCTGATTGGCTGAGTGATCCAATAAAAATATAGCAGATATCAAGTAAACACTCAGAGAAACCAAATCCTGCAAGGTTGGATGGTGGGTCCAGGTGGGCGGGGCTTGGGGCATAGCTGAGAGTGGTGACTGCTTTGTTGTGACATCACAAAGTTCCAGAAGTCCTGATGGCTGGTTTTAAGACTCAGTTTCTGAATACAGGCTGTGAGCATTTCTCTGTGGACTGAGGCTTTGATACTTTCACAGTATTAATATAGAACCTAAACCTGCTTTATAATCAAACAACACATGGACAGAGACCTTTAGACTATATGGGACCTTTAAATAAATCAAACTTGAAAATTGAAAAGAGGAGCTGAGGTTGCACTGGAGCAATTAGGACTTTTGTTGCAGCCCTGCTGAGCATTCAGTGATGCACAGACAGCAGCGCCTTTAGTTCAGTATGTAAGCGTTGTACCGTCTTTGCACTCAGCTTTAACAGCCACTCTGCTGGACCCTGTAAAACAAGACTTGTGATGCGATGTACTCAGACTCGTGCTGTTGGTTACTTATGTTACATTTACTCCAGGCACTTCTGACCAAAGCAAAGTTATTGATGTCAGTGGCTTAGCAGCTTAGCCACTGCCTATGTACAGCACAGTACGTGACTTTCATATTGTTAATTTGAACAGACTGTGTATCAGAGATGAGCAGACAGAAGCACTCCAGTCACCACTGAAGCTCTCTCTGTTCATCCAGTGAAGATTATGATTCAGTACGGTCAGTTCAACATGAGGGTTTGGAATAAAAGATTTGTTCATGCATGTACTGAACCATTAGACAATGTAGAGAAGCCAGGGAGTAGGCACACATATTAACTATAGGTGGTATAAATGAAGATAATGATTCATCCACACAAGGTGAAAAGGATTTTTTTTCTCTCCACCAGAGCAAAGTAATAGAAAGAACTGGAGATCCAGGTTCAGTCTTGAGCTCAGTCCAGGTTGACATATGCTTCTGTACTGTAACCCTGACGCTTCATTTCATCAGTGTAATCCGTCACATATATAAAAGAAAACACTTTCAATAAACATCGTGAAACATTCTGTAGTACGGGTCAGATTTGTACAAATGAAACAAATATTTTCATCAGGATGGGGGACAATTATTTCAGTACCTTTCAACACCCTGGACGCCGTGAACGCAGCCATTTCGTTACCAGGTACCCCGTAAAGGAAGGAGTAAGTCTCGTGCAGCTCTTCAGAAGAGACAGACCCTGCAGCATGACAGCTAACCGTTAGCATAGTGGCAGGTCAGAAGGAGCCACCCAGCCCTACCTATGACTTGTAGGCTAGCAACACCCTTGACAACGACAGGTGTGTGGTTTGATTGACACACATGTTCAGTGTTGAATGGTGCTTTGTTTATTTTTTTATATTGGGTTATAGGGAACAATAAGTGGGACGGAACATGAGAAATATTTATGTAAGCGCTGAAAACATTATTGTTTATTATTGTTTTTATTGTTTATAACATTATTATCATTTTAATTGTCGTGGAAACCGGGACATTTTTAGTGTTTTACAGATATTTGTCACCCAGCTCTAAACCGGGACAATGTTTGACAAACCTGGACATCTGGTCGCTGTACCTTGAAATATCTGCAGTGGAGCACACACATGGGATTATGGGTATTTATACATTCCACCACTGGTCTGGGTTAAGCGTTTTTATCCAGCTGTAGCTCATGGAGGTCTTCAGAAAAGGAAGCAGAACAGCTCGGTAGAAAATGCACGACGCTATAGCAATAAGATTTTCACGCTGGACAAATGGAGAGATGGAAAAAAGACTGAGCATTATGATATGATCACAACAGTAGCATTATTACAAATATATGACTTCATTCTGGTAACTTTCTTGGCCCAGACTAATGTCGGAGACTGTTTGAGGTTTTGCTGTGACCCACCTGAAGACGACAAACCAGACCAGAAGCTGCTCCACTCAAGAAGCTGTAGGTGTTAAAATCTCTGCGCTGCAACCGTTTACCTGAGCGGAGGCCGCGCTCAGCGCTCAGCATTGAATCAATCATTATCCACACATCTGAGGGCAAGGAGAAGGGCTCTCTCTGTGTGACACCTCACATCAGTGAGAATCTACATATGATGTCAGGTAAGGGTCATCAGAGTGGACTCAGAGTTAGGATATAAAGAGAGTGTGGTCACTGCGGCTCTGCTTAGATACAAACAGTGATAGTGCTGGATTTCACAGCCGACTCATCTGAATGCAACTGAATACAACAGGGAGCAGCTAATATACATCCTGTAATTGAAAGGGTTAAACGCAGGATGAAAAAGGCAGATGAAAACAATGTATCAGTTCATTTGGTCTGTGTGAAACCTGAATGTTCCAGAGTTTTTGTCGGCGCACTTTGCCATTGATTGACGCAGCCTTGGAGCTCTGAATGGGCTCAGAAACCTTTTTCCAGCAGAGCTATTACTCATGCACATTATTTTAAAAGGAGAGCTGATGATTCACTCGGCCTTTCCTTCATGAGCCGGTATCAAACAGAAACAGCAGATGGAAACTTTGTTACAAAAGGAAGTGATTTACAAGTGACTACACATGTGCAGCGGTGAATCAAACAGCTCCAAAAGTCAAGGACTCCCACTAGATGATGAGATGTCGTGCGTAGGAAAATATTGAAGCCACTAGAAAAGAAGTAGAGTCACACGCTCTCCATCAGTGTCTCTCAGAACTTTTTTATTTCCCATGCATAGTTTGGACAAGAGTGTAGTGGAACTGAAATGAAATTAAAAAATAAGGAAATAAAAGTTTTGACACTCAATGAGATTTCCTCCATTGTGGACATCATCTGAGAAATCATCAACAAAACATATTTAAAATGAAAAAGGAATAAAAAGTTTTAGCGAGGGTTAAAATTCAGAAAGTTCTTCAAGGTACAACAACGTCCTTCAAGGTAGAACAATGATGCATTTTGGATGGGGAAAAGTGCTGTATAACATAAATACATTACAAAGAAAACTAGAAACTAAAACATTCAGCACATTTTTATACAACAGTGCAATAAAACAGGGAGAAGTTCGAAGGGGGATTTTCCAGCACTCAATTTGTGACGAGTTGATGTGACTTTTCTCCTGCTTCTCTCTCCGTTTAAGAGCCGGGAGAGATGGACCAGCACAATTGTAAACACTTAGCAGTAAGATGAGTCTGGTACATTGCTGCTCCAAACCACAGAAGAGCAGAAAATCTACCAGGGGTTTTAAATTCTGTTAAGAAATCCTGCACTTTTACATTTAGTTTCCAGTTTGGGGGAATGGAGCATTAATCAGTTAGTGAGGAGTTTCTGATGACATGTCAAATGGGGACAGGTGGTGTCAGAACTGTACAGCAGATACCTTTGATAAAATAATGTGATCACTTATGCACTGGAGGATGGAAACTGCAGAGAGAACGCAACTGTCCACGGTTTGTTAGGCAGAGTAGCACTGAAGCACCTGGAATTATGAAAATCCCCCCAATACATATATATATATATATACATATATATATGTGTCAACTGATACAGCTTTAACAGGTGGAATTATGTTCCTCCCAACCACTGCTGACAAGAGGTGTGAAGACTATGATTCGGGGCATGTGTGGGTCCTTCAGTGCTCCTGCTGAAGAGACAGAGGTTCAGATCGGTCCTGTGGTTGTAGGTTGTAGGTACAGTTAGGCTGATATTATCATCTTATCAGAAATGCCTAAGAGCAGCTGGTCCGTGTCGTCCACTGCTGACCACAGAAATCCCTTCAGTGTGAGAGGATGGGCCTCAGAATCTGCAGTTAAACTTTCACAGCTGATTTCACGGCTAATACTATTTAATAAGTTTGGAGTTTTAGTGTCTCATGAAGGTCCCGATGCTGTGCACTTTAACAAAGAGTCAAATCCTGAGGGAAATGTTCATTCTTGAGAATTTGTGGGAGGAAAATGACCAAATTTGTAACAAATTTGCAATACTGGCTTCAACTTTCAATTCAAAATAAAGTCTGGGCCTTTAAAAATGAAGATGAGCTTTACATCGGCAGATTTTTCCATCACTGTTGGAGAAATAAATGATTTCACAGTTCTAGCTAACACTGTATTGCAACTCCAAAAGCAGCATGGGAAAATGTGGCGTAAACTGTATGTGTGTATGTGTGTGTGTGTGTGTGAGAGTGTGAGTGTGTGTGCATGAGTGAGAGAACAACAAAGTGAAAGAGGAAGAGGACAGCCTCTCTACCACACACACCATGGGCCACAACGAGTGGTTATTACACGTGCTTACTCTACTGAGTGAGATGTGACTATTCCCTGCTACGCCTTCATCGCCGGACAGAAATACAATCATTAAACAGAAAGACAACATCTTTTAAGATGCGTGTTGGATACCAAAGCCTTGAAATGTTTTGCGTATCACTTCATATACATCTGAAATGGCAGTTTGCAACAAAAGAATGTAAAGCTTGTGTGTCCTTAAAGGTCATTACTTTGCATTGTATGGAGGTTAAACTAAGGATAGACTTCTGATTGAAAGTGTGTATTTTGTGTACCCTAAAACGTGGGGTATGAATGCAACAGTATCAGCAGCTTCAAGTTTCTGACGTGTGAAGCTGTAAGTGAAGCCGCTCTGATCTAATCGTGTTGCTAATCAGCGATCAGGTACAGGAGGAGGGGATAAACATAAACAAGCCGCTGGTTTTCAGACCTCACCATCAATTAAAGACTACAACTAAACAGAACAACAAAATGCTAACGTGATAACAAAGTTCAGTGTGATCCGAGTGATTACTGTGAGAAGATATTACATATCTACATATAGAAAATACACTTCAACACAGCCAGATCCAAACAGTTCCTTCCAACAGTATGAAAAATATACAAATAAAAAATACAAATACTCTCAGACACTAGGTAGGTAGTTTTCTGTTGACATGAAATCAGTGAGGACTAAAAGATAAATATTTCACATTTTTTTTCTCCCTTGCATTTTAAAGAGAAAATAAAAATTTGTGTGTATGAAAGAAAAAGGAAAAAAACTGTCCATTTTTTTTGAAATATCATCCTTCAGTAATTAGTAACATTGTGATAACACATCTGTTTTTCAGCTAAAAACACTTTAGCTTCTCTAGTAAGCAAAAAAGAGCCAGTGTTGAAACCAAAAGCATTATAGAATTCTTTTTTTCAGACATCATACACTATGCACAGATAATAAAAAAATTAACAATGATCAAGTCTTTTCCACGTGAGAGGAACGACGCCTCCTGCGCTCAGCTCTGGAGCATCGAGGGCTCAGGAAAAGACGGTAGATTCATTATAATCAGCGCCGTCGCCGCTGCGTGATCATCAGTCAGAAATGCCTCCAACAGTCAGAATCTAATTACTACCATTATAAACTCAGTCCGACAGAGAGACAGAAAAGAGGTTTGCTGAAATACATATTTTAACGTCCCATAATGCAACATACTGAGAGGCCCGGGAGTGGTGGATGTTGAACTGGGTATGAAAACAGACGTTGATCTAGGGGACGAGGGCACGCCAGTGTGGACAGGTAGCATCCATCTCAGCTCTTAGTGTACTACAAACTTTGACCCATGTAAGGAGGAATATCAGTCACTGTATGTTGGTAACACCACCTGCTCTGGAGCAGCTGGGCATCAGGTCCTGCCAGGTGAGTAACAGTCATTCATTGTCATTCATAGTTGTGCCAGTGGAGCGCCGCTCTGGCACAAAAGGGACGTCGGAGCTTCTCGGAACTTAGTAAAGGAGAAGCCTCCAGTCAGAAAGATAAAAGAAGGGGAAGAGTAAGAGGAGGAAGGTGATTACTCAGCTCACTTGACGTGTTCGGCACTGTGGGAAGAGCAGTAGTATTTCTTATGAGCTATGAACGTGGAGAGGCTGCTGAACTTGATGTTGCACAGCCGACAGAAGCGAGAGTTACCGTTCTGGACCGGGGAGATCACTGTGGTTTTAGGACCAGGGACGGGGGCGGGCTGCGGCGTGGGGACGGGATTGGAGGCCACAGTCGCGGTGACCTTGTCTGGATGGTGTGACGATCCCACCGTCTCCCCTAGGACCTCAGGCACAGGTGACAAAGTCATAGAGGGAGCCCTTGGGGGTGACACAGGCAGAGGTGAGCCGGCTGAAGGTGATCCAACCCGAGGTGAAGGGCTGCCGTTTACCACAGGGGAGGCAGGAGAAGAGGTTCCGCTCCTGGCCTGCCCATTGATGCTGTCTCTGTGGACTTGGGACAGCGGTCGGGGCTGGCTGTTTGGGCTCGTGGAGGTGGTCGCAGCAGCTCCGTCTCTGGGACTAAGGCTGGGGCTGTGGCTGACAGCGCTGCCTGGCTGGGGCAGGGCCTCCTGGGGCGGCTGAATGCTTACAACAAGGCTGTGGGTCGTCCTGAAGTGCTCCATCAGGTCACAGGCGATAGGCCTGTTAGGGCAGTACGGGCAGACCACCTGAGGGGAACCAGCACCCGTGCCTTTGGCTCCAGCTCCCGGGGTGGCTGCGAGTGTGGTGGTGGTATGGGGGGGAGATGTGGCATCAGAGGCGGGTAAGGCAGAGGGATGAGGACTGGGTGACGCGCCTCGAGTCTGGGCAGCCCACTCAGCAGGGAGAGCTTTGGCCTCCACAGGGTGCAGGAGGTCCGGGCGCTCCTGCTGGGGCCTGCTCTTGGGAGAGGTAGAGGCTGATCTCTTGAGCCTGTGAAGCTGCTCCAAGGTGTGGGGCTGGAGTGTGGTGGCGGGGCAATAGTAGGTTTTATGAGCCAGGTAGTTCTCGATGCTGTTGAAGCTGATGCTGCAGGCGGTGCACTTGTGATAGTCTGTAAGAGGCAGGGCCGGGAGAATACTGTTACTGCTGTGCCGGGGAACGTCTCTCAGGCGGGGTCTCTTGCTCAGGTCGATGGGGCCGTCTCCTTCAGGGCTGGAGCCGCCCGCCGCGTTGGGAGAAACCTCTTGCTTCACTGCCAAGCCGAGAACAGAGGGAGATGGGGCGGAGGCGGCAGCAGTGGCGGCGGCGGCGGCTGCAGCAGCAGCAGCGTTGGCTAAGGCTTCAGTTCTGGCCATGTGGATCTCGTACATCTTCTTCCGCTTGCGTGTGCGTATGGGCTGGGGGAGGAAGGCTGCTGTGGTGGTTGCCTTGGCCATGTGTACGGCCCGCTGGTTGGATGGGTCATGGCGTGACGCGCAGTAGAAGCGTTTGTGAACAGTGTAGTTGTCGTGACGGCTGAAGCGGATGTTGCAGGCCTCGCAGAAGGTTCTGTTGGGATCATCCTCTAGGTCCTCGGCAGAACCACTAGCAGGACTCTGGCTACCTTCGCTCGCCCTTCCTCCTCCACCCCCTCCTCCCACACTTGCACCTCCGCCTTCCCCTTCAGAAGACGATGATATTCCCTCCCTCCCCACAGGGGTTTCTGTCCTCACCTCCACCACTCTCCTGGAGTCTGTTGCTCCCCCAGCAGGAGAGTCAGAGTCAGCGGGGGAGGCAGAGGCTGCTCTACTCGCCGCTCCACCCTGAGGAGAAGCAGACGAGCCAGGTGCCCCAGCGGAGGGCACCGTGGCTGGGGCCGCGTCCCTCGTCGATCCAGGGCCTGAAGCTGAGGTGGCACCGTCTGCTTGGTGCCTGCTGGAGCAGTACAGCCTCTTATGTGCATAGAAGTTGTTGATGTTGTTGAAGGTGATGTCGCACTCGAAGCAGGTGGCTCCTTTGTGAGGCGGGGTGGCTGCGGCTGCGGGTGCAGTCGGTCCGGAGGGGAAGAAGGCTGCTGGGTTGTTCTGAGGAACCGTCTGACCCTGCTTCAGACGGCTGTGGACCATCTCTGACATTTTAGCCAGTATCTCTGAGGCCTGAGGCAAAATGGCTGCTTCAGGGTTAAACATGTACTGAGGCAGGAACATCGCTCCTCCTGGAAGAACTGACTCTGTCCCGCCCACATGGGCGGGGCTAGAACCAGGGGTGGGACTAGTCGGTTCTGCCTTTACAGTTGTGGTGGCTGGACTCTTTGAAGAGTCTGATGACTGTCTGGATGAGGTGGAAGTTTGTGCCTCCTTTGTCTTCCTTCTTGCCTCTTGATCTCCCTCCTCTCCACCAATCTCCTCCTCCTCCTCCTCGTCCTCCTCCTCCTCTCCGTCCTCCTTAATCTCCATTTTCTGCTCCTCTATCTCAGAGTCTGAATGCGGCTCCTCTTTGATCTTCAGGTCGGTGGTGGGGGCATCAGGAGGACTGTAGTCTCGGGGTGTGGCTGAGCCGCCGTTTGCGCCCGGGCTGGACGAGTCTGGCTTCGGGACACAGGCGAGGGGCTCCCTCTCGTGCGGAGAGAGCTGGAGCTGGGGACCGTCAACTAACGATGGGGTCATTTGACGGGGGGTGGAGCTCCTTTCGGCTGGGACCCTGACCTCCAGGTGGGTTCGTACGTGCTGCTGAAGCTGGGCAGGGGAGTCCGAGTTGTGACCGCACACTTGACACTTCAGCACCACACCGGAGTCTCCTGGACTGAGACCTGACAAAGAGAGCCAAGGTTAGTGAACTATAAAGCTGAGCAGACACCTGTGACCTGAAACAACACCCATAACAATCAGCTGTACTGAGAGCAGAACCAATAACGTCGGAGCTTACCGATTCTACAGCCTTTAAAAATGTAGCCCGAGGGCCCGTTTAATACCAGGCTTCAGTACTCCCCCCTATCCACAATGTGCAGCTCACACTGAACCTGAGCATGGAGCCCCTGTTGGATTTGTCCAGTGACTACTCCAATAAAGTTTATTCAGATGAGTTGGCTGGGTCCTCAGTGTTGACAAAAAGTATTGTGAGCATAAAGATGGAAGACGCAGACAGAGACTGCTGTGACACAATACTGGAGAACAAACTACAGTTCATGCCCAACGTGTAAAATACAACTTCAATAATATGAAAAGAAAACAGAGGGGAACATTTTAAAACAATATTAACATATACTAATAATTACAATAATAATAACTGCTGTTTAAATACGGTTGGCATACATTTATTTTTAAATATATTTTATTAATTGTCAACATAGCCTACATGTAATATATTGTATGATATGCTGGTGAGAGCTGTCTATATAAGGAATCACCACAGTCCTCTCTGGTTTACGTCTCTTTCCAACCACGCCCGGAGGAAGTTGGTGCTTGAAAGTGGTCTGCGTTTTACTCCCTTTTCTTTTGGATTTTTTTGTTACATATTTTACTGTAGCTTCCCATTGTCTAAATTAATATAAATAAACCATTTCAACTTCAGGAGCCCCTTGCATTTACCTGGAGAGCACTTTATAATATTAGAACAAACTCTCTGAAGTTTATGACGGATCTTTTGTCAGCAGCCAGGGGGGAAATCAAACTGCCATCCAAAATTTCTGACATGCCAGATATCCATCCAATCATCCTGGAGCCAGATCGTTCATCTTTGAGGTGATTAATCGGGTGCCATGACTCTCCCTCAATCTGCACGTCAAACCACAACCAATCTGGCAGAAAAAGAAACTGGCGATTTCTAAACTTAGTCAGGGGCTAAAATAGGACTGCCTGACTCAGTATCTTACATTTGAGTTGACTTAAATGGCAGCATTCTGAACAATATGTCTGGTCCAGACTGATACTGTAAAAACGGGAATGGGGCAGCCCGTTGATGAGACTTGAACAGCAGTCTTGATGTTGAATATCATCTGTGAAGATGACGGTGTGACCTACCAGTGGACAGGGGCAGCTTGGGAAGCCCGGGCCCCGGGGAGTAGACCTCACTGCGAGAGCCGGGCTGGCAAACCATGTGGCTAGTGACCAGATGGCTGTAGAGGATGTCCCTGGTGGTGGAGACGAAGCCACAGCCGTGACACAAGCCGTTCAGTGTGTCCGTGTGGACCTTTAGGTGGCGCTCACAGTTTGCTTTAGTGGTGAAGGCGGACAGACAGATGAGACAGACAAATGGACGTTCACCTGTGGAAGGACAGAGAGGGACAATGGAGGAAGTGGTTATACCAGAGGAGCTAATCAAGTGGCTGATGAAGCCACAGTGGTCATGTATCTACGAATCAGACCCCAATGTTCCCACCCACAGTACATATTTATCTTGCTCTCACCACTGTGTGTGCGCATGTGGATCTCTAGAGAGCTGGCGCTGGGGCAGCTCTTGTTGCACTGCGGGAAGGGGCAGATGCGCTCATTGGGGTAGGACTCCTTGGGTTTGTCCTGCGGTGGGGACGAGGCTGCGGCCGGCTGCTTCTGACGGCTGGCGCAGTAGTACATGAGGTGGGCCTGCAGGTTCCTCTCACTGCGGTACCAGATCCCACAGTCCTTGCAGGGGAAAATGTCCTCTGATAACCAGCAGACACACAAAGTGTGTTAGTCGACTGAACAGAAACACAACAAAGCAGTATGGGTTGAGCAACTTGATGTAGATGTAAATAAACACTGTGGTAAACCAAAGACAAAAAAGGGGGAAGCTGGGGTTTACACAAACTAATCATTTAGATATTTCCTTTAAATGATCACATATGTGCACAGGAGGCTGCACATAAATAAAGGGGAAATGTTTTAAGGATTCAGGTGTGCTAACCCTATTGTGTTTCAAGTAACTTGATAAAAATCACTGATGCTCAACTTTAACTACATCAGGTGCAAAATTTAATCAAATTTTAATCTAATTGTCTTTACTAGTCTAAATATGTTTTCAGAAGTTGCTCAACAGCTCTAATAGATTGAGTAAGCATTCATGTTCGCCACACACACACACATACACACACACACACACACAATTGCGACGAGTATCCAAGGCAACAGGACACAAAGGCAATAATTATTATACATCTCACCATTTAGAGTTATTTTTTCCCACAATCCAATTATTTGCTGCATCTTGGAATGTGTAATCATACGGATTGATTACCAATAGTCACAGTGTTTGCGTTTGTGTTTATGGGTATCAGCCACAGAATTAGCACAAGACCAAGCTGATAGAAAACTTTGAGGAGAAATGCTCTGCCCTATGTTAAAGAGCTGCAGTGCCATCTTGTGGTCAAAGAAAACATTACAAGTTTAAGACAACTGGCACCAGTCGATATGACAGTGTTTAGAGTAACAAGGCTGGATAAAAGCTGTAAAGGCAGAAAAGATAAAAAATATGTACAGCATAATTGAAAAGGAACACTGTACTGGATGTGATACTACAGGCCATATATCTAATTTTGTTGTACATATTTAAGCTCCATATCTTACACTTTCTCTGTGTTTTATTTGAAGTGTTGATCCTTAAGAAGATATATTTGTGGTTTAAGAACTAAAAACCATCTCAGTGTAGTTTTACATCTCCTCTCTTAGGCTTCTCTCTGGAGCTCTAGTAGCAGCAGGTCAGTGAGCCAATCAGAAGAGAGGAGGCTCTGAGCCTCTCTTCTGATTGGCTGACTGTTTTCTGAGTGATCCAATATAAATATAGCAGATTTTAGGTAAACACTCGAAATCGAATCCTGCAAGGTTGGATGGTGGGTCCAGGTGGGCGGGGGTTGGGGCTGAGAGTGGTGACTGCTTTGTTGTGACATCACAAAGTTCCAAAAGTCCTGACGGCTGGTTTTAAGGCTCAGTTTCTGAACACAGGCTGTGTGCATTTCTCTGTGGACTGAGGCTTTGATACTTTCACAGTATTAATATAGAACCTAGACCTGCTTTATAATCAAACTACACATGGACAGAGACCTTTAGACTATATGGGACTTTTAAATAGATAATCTTTAAGAATTATCTCTCCTGCATCTCTAATAAACTTTACACCATAAAGATTATTTCAATTAAAAACCATTAGACTCCAATCAACAACTCTGTCAACCAAAATTGAATCTACTTGAAAATATACACTTAATTGTACAAACTAAAAATCAACTCAACTTCCAATAAACAGAAACCCTATTTTCATGCCTTAAACACAACACTCACTATTGACCACAGCAGTAGCCAAGATGGCGGCCATGCCAGCTTGCTGTGGGAGGAGCTGAATGTCTGAGCGCAACGCTGCCGGGTACGGAGGCTCCTCCTTCACCGCAGGCTGTTTCTGGGTGACGAGGCTGAGCGGAGGAGAGAGCTGGGCCCGCGGGGAGGAGGAGGAGCCTGGAGGAGGTGACAGGGAGGCCAAGAGCCTTTCACCAGCTGCAAGCTCTCCGGTCACCTTACAGAACAACTCAGCACCTGAAACCACACAGACTCTGGTCACAAAACAGAACTTTTTCTTTATCTAGGAAAAATAAAAATAAAAGTCGTCTCTAGTTTGGAAAGATATGGTGACATAGAACTTTTCTTAATCATACGAGTTTTAAATATGCTCAACCTGAAACAACCTCAAACACAAATACACTGCACATCACAAAGAGCCACACTGGTGTCACATAAAAAACTCACCTTGGCTGTAGATGGTACAGTTGGCAGCTGAGGGGTCAGAGGTCAGAGGGAGTCGACTAATCCAACAGTTCGGATCTTCACACACAAGAGTCAACTTAGAGTTCTGCACACAAACACAGAGAGAGAGAAAGAGATGAGGAGTGAACACAAGCTTTTCATTGGTCAGACACAGCATATATTAAAGCTGAGGGTGCAACTCAACACAAATGTGTGTAATAACGGACTACTGCAGTTTTTACTTTCACTGTTAACAGCAGAAATGTTACAAATGTTATGGCTCCAGCTTCTCGAATGAGGATTCACTGGTTTTCTCTCTTTTATATCAGTGTAAATTGGAAAATATAATAGACACTGTGATGACGTTGTTTCTTGATATTAGATATATTAACCATTTAAAATTCACCAATGCCTAAAATCAAACAAATGAGCTATGAACAAATGGTATTCTGCCATACACTGTATCTGAATTATTTTACTGCAAGATATTATCCTTATTAAAATGATAAAAGTGCACAAAAGGACAAGAGTCTAATATAATGATACATAAATTACATGTTCATGCTCATTGACAATTTCATAGTGCTAACAATTTGTGAAAGCTCTACATAGAGTGTAGTGCCAGCATCCCAAACCACTATCACTCACTTCTTCTTTATTTCATATGATCTACATTTTTATGTATATGAGGTGAGGTTTAACATGAGCCCTAAATTGGTTCCTTACCTCACCTGCACATCTACTTCAATAAAAAATATACAATGCATTTGTTATGTTTTATGTGTGCAAATAAATCAATCAAAAAATCAAAATCAATTCTTAACTCCCATCCTATAGGTTCTCAGGTTTCTCTCACCCTTCCTTTATATCCCCAACATTGTTTCAAATGAGACAACTTAACTGAAGTCAGAGAGATGCTCTTCAGAGACATGCCATTGTTACTTTCAAGTGTTCATTCTCGTCTTTGACTCGTTTGCTTTATAGTATGCAGAATATGAATCACGACCTCACAGGTGCATGCTTGTCAAGTTGCAGGAAATATGGCCACAACCTCCTCGTCTGTTCCTAAGATACAGTGTTTGCAGAACATTATGGTGCCACAGCTAAGTTGACCTTTGACCTTCTGGATATTAATAGCCATCATTTCATTATATTATCCTGTTTTATGTTAAATTGTGTCATAATTAGGGAATGAATTCTTGAGTCAAAAACAAGTTTTGTGAGGTCACAGTGACCTTGACCTTTGACCACCAAATTTGATTCAGTTCATCCTTGAGTCCAAGTGGAAGTGTGTAGCAAATTTGAAGACATTCCCTCAAGGCTTTCTTGAGATATCTTGTTCATAAGAATGGGACAGACGGACGGACATAATGTGTCTGGCCACGGCTGTAGCCAGTGTGAAGGCATACGAATCGAAGCTTTAATTGCTGTCAATTGGGAATACACGGTCACATGGTCCTGTCCAGTGTGTGGCCAGAGGTAAACACTGTTTATAAAAAGGCGGCCAGCGAGCAGAGGATAATTACAACCCAAGATGGAAATGAGGAAATGAGTGGAGCACGGGCTGAACAAAGCCACATTGAAAATAAAGGAAAAGAAAGAGGAGAAGAGGAATAAAAGAGGAAGAGAGACCCCGGGGGAGAGTGAGAGAAGAAAAGGAAGAGAAAGAAGATCTGATGAGGTCGACAGGCTGCTATTCAAACAGCTGCCATAATAAGATCCACAGTGGATACACTGGACAAAGAGTGGAGAGTCAGCATCCAGTGTAGGTATGAGAGAGAGAGAGAGAGAGAGAGAGAGAGAGAGAGAGAGAGAGAGAGAGAGAGAGAGAGGAGAGGGAGGGAGAAGAACACATAAAACACACAGACACACACTGAGTACAATCTGCTCTTTGTCCATATGAGGCTCCAGGAGCATTCCCTCTGACAATCACTCCCAGGACACAGACTTATCCCATGTCTCCATGTCTCCATGACACACACACACACACACACACACACACACACACACACACACACACACACACACACACACACACACACACACACACACACACACTTTTTCAGTGCCACTGCCCCCTTGTAGCAAGGAGCATCATGAATACAGGGGAATGTGTAAATAAAGCTAATGCTGAATTCACATTCTGTGTCAGCATACAGGATGTTCATTATTTTCAACAGACACACTGAGTATGCCAACACTGCTGTGGTAAAGGTTGCACCAGGTAAGAACTAGTAATAAAGTGGATTTTACACAGGTTCTGTCCTGTATGTTTCTTGTTTCTGTTGCTATAACTTCTAACAGGAAACTCTAAGGTATAGCTCAGCTAGTCTGATTTATGTGTAGTAGAAACCATATAGATGATATAAAATACAATGTCATCAATATTTAAAAAACTTTAAATTCATCCATGCCTGTGCAATGGCTTAATCTCTTTTCTATCAAACCCAGAATGTGAGGGCAGCTCAGTTATGTCTGTGATGGGTCTGTGATGCAGTATTGTTCCCTCTCCATCAGGAGGCAGCATTCCCTCAGCACTGGAGCTGAGAGTCCTCACACCAAGACTGACTGAGCAGTCCATCAGGGTCAAAGCTCACATGACGGTGTATCCCGCTTGACAAAGGGTTTTTATGTTGCATTCAGAAGTACGTAGTTTAGATAGATGGACTGATAGAGTTTGTGGGAACACTTGATTACATGGTTCACACAAAAGACACCACAGGCTGGAATTCTTATAACTTAGGAGGGTGATACTTATTTTAAAGCTTTAGCTCTTGCTAAAATGAACCTTTCTGCACATGGCCTGAAGGAAGGGGGAAGTTCTGGTAGAGTTGGTGGTCTGGGTCATGTGTGATTGGGAGTGCTTTAAGGATCACGGATGAGGTGACACACTCCGATACGTTGTGGGTGGGAATAATGAGTTTGCTGGCTAAATAAGTTAGTGTTAAGAGTTTGTTTTTACTTGTGACTGTAAGCATATGTAAGAAAACAGATGACACCATAGAGAAGAACTGGATCAATAGTGCTATGGAGAAGGAGAAGAAGAAGAAGGGGATGGGTAGGTGCTTTAGTTCACAAATGACTGCAAGTCTCTGTTGACAACGGCTGTAAATGTCGATGGTACGCCGATTGAAGCTGAGGCTACTGTTCAGTGTAATGCCAGGGTACCTTCTAGCTTCTCTCCAGTGATGGAGATACTGGGGGGGTGGACCAGTGGTAGTTATGGTGGAGAATGTTATTGTTGCCCCATGTGTTAAAATGGGATGTTGATTGGCACAGAGAGTGTTGTTGTTATTGAGCAGTGCAAGAATGGCTGTGTCATCTGCATGTCTGAAGTAGAGAGAGAGAGAGAGAGACTTAGGCTGTAGAGAAATGGACTGAGTAGAGACCCCTGTGGGGTGCTGGTATTGAGAATAATTGTGGCGGACAGGGAATCATCACTCCTTACTGCTCGTGGTCTGTTGGAGAGGCCGTTATGGATCCAGTGGATTAGTGGTGATGTAACTTGTAGGCGCTGTAGCTTCTTGATTACCTGATGGCTCTGGATTGTGTTAAAGGCGGAACTAAAATCAATAAAGAGAAGTCTTGCATAGTTTCCGGGGATGTCTAGGTGTTGTAGCAGACAGGCCACTGTATTATCTGTGCCTCTCCTTCGCTGATATGCAAATTGGAGGGGATCTGAGAACGGTAAAACATTTTGGAGGGATGATGTACCATGATGATGGACCAGCTTCTCAAAGCATTTCACATAACAAGGGTAAGAGCTACAGGCCTACAATAAATGGTTTAGCTCTGATGCGTGTGTTTTTTTTAGGAATAGGGATTACAATATCCATATAACTGGAATTGTTGAAGTACAGAATTATTTGAGAAAGAGAGAGTGAAGGATGGGTGTTAGTTTCAGGGTACAGTTTTTCAGGACCTGACCTGGGATTTGGACAAGGTGAGCAACCCCTGGTCTGGGATACAGATCTTCTTCTGTTCCATGATGAAAGTACACCGGTTGGAGTTCATGTACAGGCACACCCCACTGCCACAAACTTTCCCTGAGTTTTTCATTTTGTCTGTTCTTTTGATCCTAAAGCCATCAGGGCTAACGTCAGTGTCCGGGCCAGACACATCCCACCAATACTCAGTCAAAGCAAAGACACACCTCTGGACAATGCCTCCTTAAGACATTTAGCATGTAGCAAGTCCAGTTTATTTTCAATGAACAGACGTATGAAAGAACAATTGAGGGTAGTGGAGGTTTGTACGGGCGCTGTCTGAGTCTGCAACACACTCCCCTTATCTACCTCTTTTCTTCTTTGGACTGCATTTTACATCAGGCATGATAAGGATGGTTGGATTCAGTTGACAGTGCTCCAACAACACAATCACAAACAATATGATGATGAAAATAATCCAAGTACAACCCATCCAGTTCCTCATAATGTTTCAGCCATGGTAAACTTTTACTATTAAAGACAGAATAGTTGGACATGAACTGCACCGACCGTGACGTCAAAGTTAGCACTTGTGCAATTTCACCCATATCAGGCTCCCATCGTTCCCTGGTGTTACATTACATGACTTCTTATTCATTTCAAAGTCAGGACACTTTCCTTTATTTATTCCTGAATAGTGCATTTTTAAAAAGTTCTGTTTTACAAACGTCAACTAAGTTTATATCTAAAACACTGAATATTCCCTGTCTGGACACAGAATTCTCAGAATTAAATATTCCAGGAATGGCAAGACCAGTGAGAGCCTTTTTCAAATCATAAAAAGCTAATCGGTACTTGGTCATCAAAATCTAATCTCTGTTATTGCTTTTTATTGTAATTTTACAGTGATTATTTTTCCTTTGTGTTATCAGTAATGCTGCATTTAAAGACAGGCTGATCAGTGTGAAAATAAACCTCCAAGTGAGTGATACCATGATCTATCAATGGCTCTCTCTGTGATTAAAACTAAGCAGTGGACAGTATGATGTCATGGAAAGCCAGCGAGAGCCCAGAACAGGAAGTGTGTTTCATAAAAACTGGCACATTTCGTGCATTTGGCCAAAAAAGGATTACCTAGACTGATAAGTATTCTCATTGCACATGTATCTGACCTCCATTC